TTCCCGACAAAAGCTCCCTGGGATTTCAGCTGGAGGAGGCCGGAGGAGAGCAGCAGGCTCGGGAACGGCTCGCATGCAGCAGCGGAGCCCTCCCCCTGCGCGCCGGGCTGCTATTTAAAGTATGAAGCAAATGCTTTTAGAAAAGATTCCTAGGTTTGGCCACCTTCCAATGTTAGTAATGTACAGTTGGCAGAACAAGCAGTTTGCGGCTGTGGCAGCAACCTGAAATTCTTCTGCCAAGACAGCAATAAATGCAGCAGAGGAAGGGGCCAGGCAGTTAATTTTTCAGCGTTCATCTGTCCCGCAAAAGTTGGGAGATTTAGAGGCGCGTGGTTTGGGCTGCGCCGCTTCCCGGGCCGCGTCGCAGCCCGGCCCCTCTGGGGGAAAGGAGGAGAAAGGGCGGCTGAAGCAGCTGGGCCTGGGGTGCTCGGCAAAGGGAAGAGAGCTCCAAATGTGCTGCTAAATAACAGCCTTGGAGCGGGCTGGCTGCTTCTGCGGGACCAGGTTGGTTCTCATGGAGCTCCCAGCCCCGGGCTGGGGTGCTTTGGAGATGCAGGAGGAGCTGGAGGATGATGGAGACTGTGGAGATGGTGGAGGTGGAGGTTGGAGAGATGGTGGAGATGGAGCAGGTGGAGTCTGGAGAGTGATGGAGATGGGATAGATGGAGATTGGAGAGATCGTGGAGATGGAGACTGGAGAGATGGTGGAGCTGAGGCAGATGGAGGTTGGAGAGATGGTGGAGCTGGGGTGGATGGAGGTCGGAGAGTGGTGGAGATGGGATAGATGGAGATTGGAGAGATCGTGGAGATGGAGACTGGAGAGATGGTGGAGCTGGGGTGGATGAAGGTCGGAGAGTGGGGGAGATGGGATAGATGGAAGTTGGAGAGATGGTGGAGATGGAGACTGGAGAGATGGTAGAGGTGGGGTAGATGGAGGTTGGAGAGTGATGGAGATAGAATAGATGGAGATGGTGGAGATCGTGGAGATGGTGGAGATGGAGACTGGAGAAATGGTAGAGGTGGGGTAGATGGAGATTGGAGAATGATGTTGATGGAGGTTGGAGAAATGGTGGAGATGGAGATTGGAGGATGATGGAGATGGATCAGATGGAGATTGGAGGGTGCTGGAAACAGAACAGGTGGAGATCGGAGAGGCGGAGGCAGCATGACCGGGCTGCAGCCTGAACTTTGTACCCTGCTCTTTGTGCCGCTGCTCTCCAAGCTCTCAGCCCCTTGCGGGACCCCCGACGCTCTCTGGTGGGTATCAGACCCGCACTGATCTTCAGCACCTCCGCACGGTGTGTGCTGCACCAGCATCCTGGCATTGGAAGTGCCTTCAGCACAAGGAGACCCTCCATAATCCGCCTTTGCCGGGGGACACCTCATCTTCCTGTGGACCCGCCAACCTCGGGAGGTCCCTCCGTCTCCTCTCCAAAGCCCTCCCGGCTCAGAGGGCGCTTAATTTCCTCCCGAAGCAGGAGGGCAAACGCGGCGTCTTCATAGAATAAATCAAATGGCATCGAGCTGCTGGCAACGCTGCCCGCGAGCTCGCGCCGCCGCGGAGGGTTGTCCTTGAAACACCTCGTCGCGTGCTGCAAGCGAGCGCGGGCCGCGGCGGGACCCGCTTCCCCCCGTCCTTCCCGTGTCCGCCGGCTGCCGCCGGCTGCTCCCGCTGTGCTGCAGGATGTTGCTTTTCCGCGGGAACTCGGGGCCGAGAGCTGCGAGGGAGCTGGAAGCCGGCCCCCGTCCCGGCCAGGACCCTCGGCGTGCGGGTTATTAGTTTCTGTCCCTCTCAGGTCCAAAAGCCCCAGGAGATCCACTCCGGAGCTGCCAAAAGCAAGGATGGGCTCGGGGGCTGCTGGGCCGCGTGTCGCCTCCGTGGAAGGGTTTTCACGGCAACGCCGGGAATCGCGAGCGCCAGACGGCCCCTTCCAGCGGTGACGCTGCTGGATTTATCCCACAGGTACCTGGAAAAGCAGAGTCCAGATCTTCAGACAATGCAGCTGAGTCGTGTAGCGACGTTACGGAGGGTTGACCTGATTAGAGGACGTTTCCGAAGGGCAGTAGATGACGAATTAGCTTTTTTCTTCGCTTCTAGACATGACTGCATTAACCTGCAAAGAAGACGACACTCGGTCGTCAACGCTGCCGCGGGAGGGCAGGAAGCTCCTTTTCCTTTCGGATAAACGCGGGGGTTCTTCAGAGGTTTCACCTCTGCGGAACCTGGGGTCTTGCTCAAACACGGGCGACCTTGGGCACACCGGGGCTCTCTGTCACCTGTCCCAGCTTCAACCCCCGTTTCAGCGAGCCCTTAATTCGCTCCTACCCCGATTTGTATTTTAACCTACTTGAGGAAATAATTTTCCTTTTGGGTAAATATAGGAGGTTAATTAAGTGTAGTATATGAAGTCATTATTGACTTTGGCTGCTCTGTTGCATGCGATCATTGGGCTGTCAGTGGCTTTCCTTTAATTATGTTTCCCTGCTGTCTTGTCATATGGTTGGATTTGGCCCTGGAATTATTTTATTATAAACTTGTGCAGCTTCTAGCGCTCAGAGCTCCTTGGTGGGACAGCCAGAAGCCTCTTCTGTAGGGCCCTGAGTTTCGTCTTGGGTTTGTGAAGGCGAAGCCGCAGTGACGTGAAGAAAGATGCTGTATGAATTCACGTTCCTGCACGGTGCATGGGTTTTAAGGAATATTTCCAGGTTCTGATTAACCTTCTCAGGTCCCTCGAGCAAAGGCAGGGCCACGTCCCCGTCACTGCCAGAAAGGCCCTGAACTTGATCCCTTCTTGCTGTGGTTCCGTGAGAAGCTCCTGGTCGCTGGTGGTGACCCTGGTGTCCGGCTTCCCGGGTTCCTGCTCCCCGGCTCCTGGTCCCCATTGCTAATTCCCACCGTTGAGTTCCCAGCTCCCGGCAGAGCATCCCCCTCTCTCTAACTGCACGTTCTTGCATTTTCTATTTTGAACTCTGCTTCACTCCAGCTCTTCTCTCTCCCCGTGGCGTAATCCCACCCTCCTCCTTTGACTTTGCGTCAGCAGGAGGTTTATTTTAAAGCATTCATAGATTTTGTGCGAAGATCACTGGTGAAAACGTTGGGCCAAACACGAGTCTCGGGACCAAGGGCAGCGTTTTCCCCCGTTGCTGAGGATCCCTGTGTCGCTTGGGAGGCATCCGTGATCCATAAGGGTTGTCCCATCTGGTGCCGTGTCCTAGAGGAGGCAGCGCCGGGACCGGGAAACGGGCAGGAGCGGCGAAACCCGCGGGATCAGCTGCTTTCCCTCCCGCCTCGCCTCGGTTCCTGCAAATTGGAGAGATTAGGGGATTCCAGCTGGGTTAGGAACTCTGTGGCTGCGGATGAAGCCTGTCAGCGCCGCGTTCCTCGGAGCTGGGCCGCGGTCAGGAGCGCGGCGGGGGGCACGGGAGAGCGCGGATCGGGATCCTCGCTGCTGCTTTAACCCCAAACAGGGGGATATTTCCCGATTTTTCGCTGGGGAAAAACGTTCTCACCTTCCTTTACCAAGAGGTTGCATGAGGGTGACCCAGCTCTGGAGGCGGAACGTAAGAGCCGGTCGGATGAGCGGAGCGGGTTGAAGACAGGAGCCGACGGCCGCTCTACAGGACACGGGTTGTCCAGAAGGGCCAATGGTGAAGAGTGATCCGAGGAGGACGTGACACTGGGGACGGTGCTGCTGCTCTCACGTGTCCCCCGCTCAGCCCCTTCCTTCAAAGCCTGCCCAGGGCGGGTGCCTGCAGGTGACAGCTCTTCTCCCTCCACTTCCAAAGGAATTTGGAGGTAAGTGGAAGATGCTCAATTCGAGGCATTTGAGTGCAACTTTTGGTAGTTCAACGAATCTCCCAGGACCTTAGAAGTGACCCTCAAGTGGAAGCTCAGCTGGAGATGAGGAGTGCAAAAGGGAATGGGCCAAAGGACAGAAGGAGAAGTTGGGATGTGAAGTTTAAGTGCAAAGTGTGGCTGGATGCAGGAGAAACTAAGATT